CAAACTAGGATTTTTCCCCGACTTCATGCACGATTCTGAGGGTTTTTGGGTTTCTCATAAATTCCTTTACGCATTTTAGATTCTGCTAGGTGACTTTCCTTCTGGGGTGGAAGATGACGGAAGGACCAACTAATTTGTTTATTCAAAATTCTAAAGAAATAAGTCACCATCACACTCATGCGCTCCCTCCCCATCCCATCCCACTAGAGATTCTTCGAAATTGTGAAGAGAGGAGGAAAGAAAGACGTCTAGCCCGGACATTTCGGCCATAACGCGCTTTGATTCCACTCGACGCTTTGTAGCCATGATTATTGCGCATTGAACCCATCATTTTATTACGCGCAACACTGAAAGACGGCTCAGGACATTCAACGTAGGCATGTTCACGCCAACGAAAATATCCACTTCATTTGGCCACACTCAGTAAGAAAGAACTCTGGCCAGTGACATTCAAAATGAACCTCAGATCTTTAGGAGACAGTCGTGTACCGATACGGAACAGGTCTTGCTAATTGCTCTCCTCTCCTTCTTCATTATGACTGTTCATCAACCTATGTAACAGTGTGTTGCTTCCCATTCCAGGGGCAATCATCACAAGCAGCTACAGTATCCCGTACAATATTCGCCGTACGGTTTATAACCGGCACTGTAGGCTCAGAACCAGTTACACTCCACACACTACTCACCACTTCACAAACAAAGCAGCTCCGACTTCTTACAATTATGAATTTAATGCCCGAATTAATCATCGCTCAAGTGCCTTGGCTGGCGCTGACACGGCTTCTCTAACAGGGCTCTCTCAATCAATAACTTTTGTTTGTTGTTTTTGAATGCTCTTTTGGTTTAATGCGTAGTTCTAAACTCCTTTACCCAAATATTTGTTTACCCTTCCATGATAAACAAGTGAATAGATGATTTTGGAACGGCGTTGGTTGGATTGGAGGGGCCCGCGTGGGAAGAGGAGGAGGTCGAGCTCGTGACAGGGACAGGTGACGAAGAAGGGCTCCATATAGCTCCCCCAACCCAGACAGTTCTTCACGACCGGAAACACAGCGCGCATATCAAGTAGCAGCGACATATATATTATGCCCACTATCATATGTTATGAATACGCTAATAGGCCACGACATTGCGTAGAATGTTAAATGATGTGCTGCGCAGCCACCTGCCAACGAACGTCTTCCTCGTTAGGCGGCACTGTAACTGACTGACTGACTGACTGACTGACTGATGGACCGGCTACGGACCGTTTGAGTGACTATGAAATCATCTCTAGCTCTTCTAAACGCTCTAGGACACTTCTGCAGAGAAAGGAGAAGAGCGGTTAATTTAGTGAATGAAGTCCCCAGTCTTGATAATCCTAATCTGTACTGCCATTTTCTCAGCGCTCAGATAATCCCAGGAACTAGAAAAGCTGTCCCTCACGAAAGAACTCCAAGAGTTTCACGAGATGCAGTATTATAGATTAATACCTTGATCTTGAGCCAGAATACGTAACGGATTAGCTGCGGCCACTGCTGCTGAGTTGAGTTGTTGTCCGACAAGAAACGAGAGGTAGGCTTGCTGCAAAACGATAGAATTCCTACAGAGTTTTAGCTCATTCCTAATGGCGACCTGATATGGTTGAGCTCAGGCTCATAAAGTTCTTAATGAGCGTTGGATAACCAATCGACGACTCAAATTTCATCATGGCATATAATAGGAGACTCCTCTCGTCGCTATATAGCCTTATTAATAAGCCCCTCAGCCTGATCGAAAGAAAAAGCAGCGCTATCGCAAGATACGGGGCATTCTATTGGACCAAGCCTAAAAGGGGGCAGAAATTTTGAGAAAGAAAATTGCTCACGCATCCTGAAGTCTCTCCCCTCCCACCTAAGGCTTAGTCCCGTTTCCTAACAAAAAGAAGATGATCAGCGCGATATGCATTGCTACTGCCATGCCCCCAAGCTCAATTTGTACCTGAATTTGGCGTCCGGAAGAGATACCAGCGAATTGTTGTGCATCACACATCTGGAGGAGGAAGAGCTCGGATACCTGCGACGGCCGGGAATACCGAAGTGGTTGGTTGTGCATCTGATGTCGACATCGATCTGCAACGGAATATCAATAGGTTCCTCCCCACTCAGCAGTTCAAAAGGTACATACCCATGCTTCCTCTTCTGTAGATCCGCATCGTGGTGATCCACTGTCATCATCGCTGGCCGATGAACTGCTGGAAATAGGGGTTTTTTCATTTTTTACAAGAAATAATACTGCAAACCTCAAATTATTGAGCCTTTTATGGACAACGACGCGATTATGCTATTGTTATCAATCAACGCCATATTCAGCAGCAATAATTTTTATTTTATGAACAGCAAAATCAATGCAGCGCACGGGGCCCCGCTCTGTATGAACACCATTCGACTAACATCATTACAACCATATTTTTCCGAGTTTATGATAGTCGATCATAGCTGCTTGGGGGCTTGGTGCGCTTTTAGTGGTCCGAAAAGCTCTCACCTCGCTGCTGGGCTGTTCTCCTTCTTTTCGAGAATGTTCGAGATACTGTAGGCGCTCTTCTTCTCTGATTGATCCTCCGACCCTTGACGTGACGACTTGAACGCGCTTTGCGATGTGAAATTCTGCAATAACACAGTATCATTCCATGTTTACAGAGAGGATCTATCGATTGCAAGAAACTCCCCCCCCCCTTTTATACACAAGTTACTTGATTACTATCTTTGATATGGCATAGTGGAAAGAAGAACTCCTACCGTGACTGGATCTGGGGACGAAGACAGGGCTGTAGCCGTGAACTGCGATTTCTCGGGAGAAGAGAGGAGACTCCCGTTCAGGAAGATACTCATCCTGCAAAATCGACTAGTGTAGTCATTTGAAAGCAATGAAAAGGTGGATCAATGAGCTCGAATCCTGTCAAATGATCCTATAAACGGGCTCAAAGAGGATGAAGACGCGACTTAATCAGTCCTTAGCTCGGTCAGTGAGTTGATCACCACCAGCAGCAGGAAAAAAGCGTCAATAGTAGCGACTGAGTGAGAGCGAGAGGACTTGAATAGATGCAATAAAATGATGAAATGCGATTCCATTCAATAAACATCGGGATCGACAGTTGTGTGTGTGTGTCTGCGAAACATATTCTATTGAACCATGATATCGGTCTGAACTCCAAATAACATGTATCAAACGCCCAGGGGAGAGAAATCGTACATAAGAGACCAGATTCGAGTGTCTATCCCATCCCTCGAAATTCCCGCCTCCAAAAGGGATTATACCTACGGCTCAGGGAGCTGCTTATCTCACTCTGAACCAGGTTTAAAATGATTTGTGGCGAAGAAATCCGGTATTATCGCCGACAATAGCATAACGCTGTATAAACTCTCGAGAATTCTTTCTAATAGATTGCTATTGAATGGAAGAAGAGAGGAACACTCGCCGGCCTAGAGAGGATGGGTTGGAGGCGATGAGAATGAGGATGAGGTTAGAGCTAAGGAACGCCGTACTGCTGCATTGAGCACTGGTGAGCAATAATAGATGGAAGCAGGTGAGAAACGGAACGCTCGTATAATCACCAGTTATGATACCAGCTATTAATGGCGAACTGATTACATGTAGAGCAGTTAATTAGGCTATATGATCGTGTGGGATTACTCAACCAATTGGGCTTGTGCTCGACATGTACTGAAACAGAAGCGGAATGGGAACGGGCGATCGGCGGATGAGGTCGAGCTGGTCGTGTCTACTATGGAAAGCACTGAAGAAGCTGTCAAGGTAGCGAAGAGAGGGAGCGAACACTTCTGAAGTGCGTCTCAAATTCTCTGAGAGAAGATTTACATGAGACGATCAAGCCGATAATTCCCTCAAGAAGCTTATCCTTGTTGCTAAAGAGTTTGAAAGTGAATGTTTCAATTAGATGCGACAAAGGTAGGCTTGACGAGAGTGTTGTGCTGGCTCTCGAAGAAGCCACATCATAGAGCTTATAGCAAAATAATGATAGCGTATTGACACACTGATATCACTGGCTTCTTATCCGATTGCCATTCTCGCCACATCAACTCAACGCCAGCTATAGTCATCGACGGAATAACGAATTATCATTGATGAGCATGTTGTGTGCAGAGCAGTAACAACAGCTCCAGCTCTCGTCGTTCAAACGTCTTTGTTCCCGATTTTGGGGGAGCGTTCCAAGAATTGAGCGAATTTTATCGCTTTTGGGAAAGCAGCAAAAACGCGGCCTCGTTCCAGGGTATCATTCCCAGGGATGAATTCGGGCAACCCAAACACACAGTATATTAGGTTGTTTTGGTAGACGTCGTCGGCGAAACTTCCACACCATCACCACCATCACTTTGTTGTGATATTCATATCTCGCTTCTCCATGCCTATTACATAAAGAAAACCGCCGCGCATCGTACTATGAGTCAGAGAATAGATTAATAACACCCAAAGGATTACTGTATGTATCGATTACATGGCTGATGGTGAATGCTGGGTCTGGCCGGCTGGCTGGCTGGTTGGCCCGTTCCGACGACTAAGATGGAATGTGCTGGCGAAGGGTACCCCAGTACTGGGCAGATTTGATTAGTGTATGGGTATTACAAAGTAACTTTTTCGAAGGGGATAAAAAGTTTACGCAATCAAAATTGATCAGGCAGACTGAAACGGAACAGGTGGGCAGAATTTCGAAGAAGAAGTATAGATTTAGAACGGCCAATAAATCTTCTTATTCAACCCCTCTTCAACTGCCATGAAAGAAATGTCGGATACTAATTAGAGTGGCCGTGTGAACCGAATTGGTGGAGTTGAGCGCTGAGTCTGCGAGCGAGTATGCGAATGACAGTCATCATTATAGGTCTATCCATGCATTTGACGACTAGAAAATTGCCCCCGGTGTGTTTTCGATTATCGTCAAAACCAAAACAAATCAACAAATCGCCCCTTCCTTGTAAAGTTGTCGTCCGGAAATGGGAGATTTTCAGGCGCTAAGGTAAGGGGGCACCCTCTAGGACGTGGGTAAGAACGTCGGGGTAAAGAAAAATGTTCACCACTGTGAAGTTTCTCCTCTGTAGCCTTAGCTTAAACCCAGTTTCAGCAAAAAAAAGCTCTTTTACGTGATTCTAAATGCATTGGCACTACAATGCCCCCGTATCTTGCGATAGCGCCGATTTTCGAATGCTGTCAAATCCAGCAAATTCTTCACAAAATGCAGTTATTTGCGCAGAAATAACAACTATTGCTGTGCTGAGCGGTTTTCAAGAGAGGTAACCCCGTGAAAAAAAACTCTGATCAAACTGGGACCTCCTAAACTGCGAGAAAAAACCCCAAACGCTCTATTGCTAGCCGCGAAAGCTGACAGCCAGGGTGTAGAAGATCCCTGCCACTGTGGGTGTCTAGCCTGATTTCGAAAGAAAAACATAAACTCTTCTAATAAGAAAATAGAGCATGGCTCTGATGAACTGCCATGTGACAGCCAAGTATATTGAAGATAAAACTTTGTAGCATAGCTAGGTGAACAACACAGATTCTGAGCAGATTAGCCCACTCATAAGGGATAACATTTATGTATTATAATCGCCTTCGACGATAATAAAAACGTAGATTGATATCGTGATATCGGCAACAACATCTCGGCACTGAAATCTGTGCCGCAATTCAATCAGAATGCCAGAATTAGAAAGAAAACCTTCAATGGCAAATGAGGGCCAATTTCTACCGAAATACTTTAATTGTTGTCGAATATTCAATTGAACGAATTCAAACGACGTTCACACTGACGACAGACGAGGCATTCTGAAGTGACGAAAATACCTCGCCGGGGGTGGAGGGGGGATTTTCGAAGTACGATGGATTGAGCGGAACTTGGCAATAAGTTGAAATGAATCAAAAGAAGCTGATGAACAGCAGAAATATGCTGGAGATCAGCGAAATGTGTCTTCGAGGGGGCGTGGCCGCGCCGACCAATCAGCGACCGCTCCTCCCCCGGGCACAGCTACGCCAAGGCACTTCATGTATCAGTGAGTGAAATACAGTAATTGCCGGATTGAAGACTCGCATAAGACATATGTTCGTCATTCATTAATGAATATTTTGCATGTATTGATAGAAAAGCTCAAGGAATCACGAGACTATGAGAATGAGAATTACAGGACGCAAAATTGCACAAAAACGGTCATTCTATCATAGTATAGAATAGAAGGCGTCAGACAGTAGAGTTATGTAGAACGCTGAAAAAAGCTGAGAAACGTGTTATAGGTGCAGAAGGAGCTGCCCAATTCACAACACTGTGAATGGTAGAGGGCGCGAGGACCTATTACGAACGCCCGAAAACCGGCGACTCATAAAAATTACCATAGCGATCGCGTCCGAATTACTAATATGTAATTGAAATGGGTCCTCCGAATAGGCAGAAGAGTTATAGACGACGAACCAGACTAGCGCCGGTGTTCGTTCGTTTAGGGCATTACATAAAATGTGGTGGTCTGTTGAGCTTTCCGAATATGGGATGGGGATATAGCATCGGCGTGTTAGTCCAGCCAGCCTAGACCGGGATGGGGATAATTTTCGAGTCAAATAAAGAAAATTGTCACAAATTTCAGCGCAGCGATTTTGTTTATCTAAGACCCCGGCTAATGATGCAATCATTTCGAGCAGCTGAATGCGATTCACGGACGTTTTATTTCACTGCACCACAGCTCGTGTGTTAGATATGTCCGTGTGTGTGTAGCAACAGCCGATGAGGAGGAGGAGGAGGAGGAGGAGGTTATTGCCAATGTCACATCTGGTAGTTATAGGGGTATCTGGGCGAGTTTTAGTGCCAGTCACACAATTCACACCATTCAAACACCTCATCTCTGTCACTTTCACACTAACTAAACGATTGCTGATCACCCTCGAAATGAGCAGCTTTAGAAAATAAAGGAGCTGGACGTATGAGAGAGGGGCTCACTGGGGAGCACGAGCTTATTGTAGCAAGTTTATTGAAGCGGCCAGACAGCGTGTTCATGGAAGACGATAGATGACAAATGAATGCTCATGATCGTGGCGATTACGCCATCAGCGTTGATTTGTACCCGCGTGGCATCCAGCCAGAACCTCCCCATTGGAAGTTCGCGTCGGCTCATGAACCGCCCCTTCCAATGCGTGGACCGCAAGACAACTCACAGGACCATTCCCTTTCAGATGATCCCGTTTGGTT